TTGCCCCTGTTTGGGTCATACACCGGCATTGAGACCTCTGTTATCCCTCTTTCAATCATGAAATCTCGTAGTCTTGTTAGCGCCAACATCACGTGTTCGGGATCAATTGTGTTCCTGTCATTGACCCTCGTCACTAGGAAGCACAGGTATTTCCCCGGGACTTGTGCTACTGATGGTGGGAGCGCTGCCATCCCTCCCAGTCCTGGTCTCTGTCTGAACAGAAACTCTACGTTCTGGTATTCTCTCTTGAAGTCAGCTTTCAGTCTTGATTTGAAACTCATGTCTGCCGTGATGCAGATCGCGCTCGGTCTGTTTGACAGGATGAAGTCACTATCTGTTATCATGATGTTTTCCGAGTACTGATTGGGTATTTCAAATTTCGTTTTGAAATTCCGGCCTATGTTAGGCTCTGGCTCTTCTTCTTCCAGTTCCAATTCGCTTGTTTCTCTCACTTCCTTGAGCTTCTTTATCATCAAATTTTTGGTGTGGGTAAGTCCTACCCCCACTCCCCGGACAAAAATATTTATCGACGTCCCCGTCGATGTTGTCGGGTCTGAATTGTCCGGTGGAATGTCCAGCGGCCTGTCTGTCGCCGTCCAGCCGAAGAGAGGGTCTTCTGACTTCTTGTGTTTTTCCGCTGACACGTCGACTTGCTGGATACTCTGTCCTCCATGGCCTTCGTCTTTGACGTCGCGTATCCACTCTAGTATCCTCAAGTTCGTGTTCTCCCTCCTCTCCATCTCGCTCTGTTCGAGGTCCGTCTCCATTTCTGGTGTCGATTAATCTTCCTGCGGATAGTGTCCTCCATCATCAATGACCTGCCATTCCTCTTCGGCTTCCAGTTCGCCTGCACCCAGTAATTCCTCGCCCAATTTGTCTGGCTGTATCTTGTCAATCAAGAAGTCATCCCCATATCTGTTGAATCTCATACCCGTCCGTTTACGATTGCCAGTTCTGGTTCCCGGTGATATTGGTCGATCTGGCTCCATCCACTTTGGCACCTCATCTTGCTCCGGGTCGTTCCAGTCTTCTTCTGCAAACTATCCTGCTTCAGACTCCACCTCTATCTTTTCATTGTCGTCCAAGCTCAAGTTTTCATTGCCATCATTTTTCTCCCTGGTGCCCTTCTCATTCACTTCACAAGCTGGTTCTACCACCAGGTACTCGAGACCCTCCATGTCTTTCGGTAGGCACCAGTCTTCCGGGGACGGGACGTGAGGCTTCAGATTTTCGTAATGTGCTGCTCGCCCAGTACTCAAGCGGTAGAACCGTCCTTGTTGATGTACTTCCGTTATCATGAATGGTCCCCTCCACTTCTTGAGTAGTTTCTTTGTTCCCTTGGGCGGTATGACATTTTGGAAGACCCACACGTACTGGCCCACTTCATATGGCTTCGCTTGTAATATTTTATCGTCATATTTCTTGCGTTGTCTCATTTGTGCTTGCGCCGTGTTCCTCCTGCATAGCTCGTTTAGCTCTTGTTGTCTTTTGATCGCTTCCTTCACATATGCCTGAGGCGACGTCCTCTTCCCCTCGTATTCTGGGTAGAAGAATGTTATAGGCATTGCCCTCTCCCTACCCGTCAACATCATGAAAGGACTGATGCCCGTCGTTGAGTGCTGCGTACTGTTGTATGCTCCTACTACCTGTGGCAGGTATTTGTCCCAGTCCGTCATGTATCTGGAGCAGAACACCCTTAACATGTTGACCAGTGTCCTGTTCTGTCTCTCTACCAACCCATTGGTCTGTGGATGATAGGTCGTCGAGTGTGCTTGAGCAATGTGCGATCTCTTCATCAATTCTTTCGTCAAGTCCCCCACAAAGGCTTTGCCGTTGTCCGACTGGAAAGTCATCGGACAACCATACCGCGATATCCAATGCGTTATCAGATGATCACATGTCTCTTCGGCTGAGGCTGTCTGGCACGGAACCGCTTCCGCCAACTTTGTGAAGTGATCTATTATAACCAGTATTTGGTTATAACCCGACTCCGTCATGCAGATTTTCTGATGGTCTATCTGCACCACTTCATTGAATTCCGAACTCTCGACAGACTTGAGGGGAAGCTTCATCTTTCTTGGGTCTTTTACCTGAAGGCATGCTAGGCAGGCACTTACCCATCTCTCGCAAGCTTTTCTCATTCCCGGCCAATCAAACCTATGAAGTATCCTTTGTTGTACTTTATCTATCCCCTGGTGGCCCATCTGGTCGTGTGATCTGAAAAGCACCTCCGTTTGGTACAATTGTGGTAGTATGATGAGGTTGTGTTTGTGTAATACCTTTTCCTCATCTCTCCTTTTGCACGCTACCACCCCATCAGCTGTGTGATAAAGTAAGTCTTTCCTTTCTTTGTAGAACTGACTTAAGATCTTGTAGCTGTCTTCCTCAAGTTCCCCTTTCTCCTTGACCCCCGACTGGATCCATTTGGATAGATTACTTGTCATTTTGTCATTCTTCTGGGCTCTTATTAAGTCTGACAGCCTATATCTTGCCTTGACATGCTCCTTTAGCGCCATGATCTGTCCATTCATCTCACCAGGATTGTGGATGTCATCACTCAGTTTCACGCATATCATCCTTTTCATGATTTTCATGTCGTCTTCTGGTACCAGATTCGTTCTGACGTTTGAGTTGCACGATAGTTCCCTGAATGGCTTTCTTGAAACCGCAATTTTCTCAAGTTCTTCACCACCTCGTACCTCTTGTGTGTCCAGATTGTACGTTCCTGAAGATGGATCCGTCTGTAACTCCCTGTCGTGTTGTCTTATCTTCTCTTCCGCCAATATCATGCATAGACTGTCCTGGTCTTCACTGCTCTCATCCGAATCTTTATCCCAATCTTCACGCTCCCCGGACAATTTCCCTTCTCCGGTTCCTTCTTCTTCCATGAACCTGGACCACTCCCCGGACTCTTGATCTAGTCCCAGGTGTTCAGCCTCTTCTTTGAACGCCACTTTCTTTTTCCTAACCTTGGTCTGTTCCAGAATGTCCTCAGGGATTTTGTCAACTAGTGACCGCACGACGTCCTTGCTATCAGCCACGCTCCCTGTTGAGGAGTCAGTATTGTTCACCGTCTCTTGTTTCCGAAGTATGGTGACTTCTGGTTCCTGTTGACCCTTCTCCTGGATCACGGGTTTGTCATCCGATAGTTTCTCAAGCAGCCTCATTAAGTCTTCACCTATTCGGGCAGTTCCCGCCTCTACCTGGTTGAGGTCATAACCTTTCGCCTTGAGCGTTTCCCTCACGATCTTGGACTTGAGCATTGTTGCTACCGGAATCCTTCTGCTTTTCTTCAAGATGGTCTTTTCTGGATGTTCTTTAGGCAATTCCGGGTGATCTTCAATCGGTTTGCCTGATTTGTCCAGCCATCTCGTGAGTGGAAGACTGTCGTACGTTTCCTTGTCCATGAAGGAGAAGCCATCTTTGATCTCAGGTCTGTCCGCCTCTCTTTGTTCTTGTCTCTCGTAGAATTCCGTCTTCTTACTCAAGCTGTCGGCATTTTGATGTTTGTCTCGTGTTTTATGCTCAATTATCATATTGTATCCGTCAAGGCAAACTATCCACCTCCCGATGTAACTCTGGTCCATCGAGTACGTTTTCAGCCAGCTTAGTGCTCGGTTGTCGACTCGCAACTTAAATGGCTCACTGCCCAGGTACGCCCTGTACTTCTCAACAAAGGTAACCACCGCGAACATCTCTGCCTTCGGTGCTCCGTACTTCATTTCCGTGTCACTCAGGACTTTGCTCCCGTAAGCTATTGGTCTCAAGACTGTCTTCCCATTCCACTCTTGTTCCTGATGAAGCATTCCTGAAATCGCAACTACCGACGCATCCGTGTCCAGCACGTACATCCCTTTCTCAGTCGGCATCCCCAGTACTGGTGCCTCACATAGCTCTTTCTTTATCCTCCGGAATGACTCCTCTGCCGCGTTGTTCCATGTGAAATTCTTGCCCTTGTGCCTCATCAATTGTTGCATCGGGTACACCTTGTCCGCGTAGCCTTTGATGAACTCTCTGTAGTAGTTAGCAAAGCCCAGGAAGCTCATCAACTGGTGTTCCGTCTTTGGTGACTTCCAGGTTAGGACTGCCTCCACGGCGTCTGGATCAGGTCTGATGCCGTGCTTGTCTACCATCCTGCCCAAATATTTGATTGAGTCCTTGAGTATCTCGCACTTTGATGGTTTACACTTTAGCCCCGATCTTTTCATGCACGCGAACACCTCGTCAAGTCTCTCAATGTGGTCTTCTAGTGTTGGCGTTGCTATTACCACGTCATCCACGTAGCACATTACCAGGTTGCCATACTTCTTTGTCACGCCTATCAGCGCGTGTGCCATCAATCGCTGAAACGTGGCTGTGGCATTGCAAAGTCCAAACGGCATCCGTTTCCATTGAAACAGACCCAACTCGCAGGCAAACCCTGTCTTGTCCCTGTCCTGCTTCCGTAGTGGTACCTGCCAAAAGGCCGAGCCTAAATCAAGAGTCGTAAAAAATTTTGCATCACCTAACTTCGAGAGGCTCTCATCAATCCTAGGTATGGGATAGGCATCCTTCACCGTGACGGAGTTCAGATATCGAAAGTCACAACAAAACCTCAACTGATCGCCTTTCTTTTTGGCCATCACTACTCCACACGCCCACGGTGACTTGGATGGTTCTATCATGTCATACTCTAGTAACGTCTCGATCTCTTTTCTACACGCGTCCGATTTGTGTGGGGTCATGCGCCTCGCCCCCTCCCTGTGTGGTACCGCGTTTTCCTCTAATTCTATTTCATGCTCAACAAAATCACAACACCCGATATCCGCCTTATGCCTCGAAAAAACTTCCTCGTTCCGCTCTAGTACGTCCTTGATGGCTTCGAGCTGTTCATCTTTCAGTTTGCCCCTCAAATGTTCAATCTCCGGCAGGACCGGTTTTTCATTTTGCATTTCATCTAGTGTGGGTCTCTCTGAAATTCGAACAGCTCGACAGCCCATCGTCCGTTTCTGACTTGAGCGATTTAATAAGACCTGATGAATCTTTTATTTTCTGCAATCGTCTCAAGATACAAATTTTGTCCCTGTGATTGGGACAATCAACAACTTCATTTTGTTTTGAGTTCTCAATCGTTTCGTATCGAGTTTTAACCGGTAAAGCATATCCCAGTTTCCTCCCTCTCTGTATCGTGATCGTCATATCAAGGGTATTCAACAAGACACTGACGCAGAGGCCGCTCTTCGTTATCGAGAATGATCTTCCTAAAACAGCAGCACTTTGACTATTAGGATTCGGAACTATACACACTTGCTTATTGTCACTTATTTCATTGTAATTTTTCATCCGCAAGCCTACGATTGCCGCTTCATTCGCCTTTAGCCTCACCCTCCTACTCAAGAACACCGGTGCTTTGCTTTCATTTGCCATTATTAAATTTACCGGTTTGATTGCGTACCTCCTATCCGGGTTCCGTATCCTGAACATTGCGTTGTTTAGATCAATTGCTACATCAAAGTTCCTGATGAAGTCTCTGCCTAAAATAAATTGGTCAGACTCATCTAGGTTTTCTACTACAAGAAAACTCATCCACAGGTTACGTTCCCCCAGATTGAGCGCTATTATCGGCGTTCTGCCCAACACGCGCAGGGCCCCTTTGTTCGCAGCCGATAACCGTATTCTCGAATCTATCAAGTCATCTTTGTTGAAGCCCATTCGTTCCCAAGTTTCGATTGGTATGACACTCAAGACCGCTCCCGTATCAAGTAACCCACGTAACTGAGTCTTCTTGCCACTTATGTCTAGCACGTGCCCTGTCACATCTGCCTCTGTTCCGATGTGCATCGCATCTTCTTCAAGCATGGCGCAGTGTCCAATCGATCTCACTTTTAACTCTTCCTTCCCTACGTAGATTTGCCCAATTAGGTCTTCGTCACATGTTATCATCGTTCTGGTATAGATGTTGATCCCATCTATGTTTAGCATCACCTCGTGTGGACCATAAGCTTCAGTATACCTATTATCAACACGTACCGACTTGCTGCCCCCTCTCGTGAGTAGTGCTCTCAACGCTCTAGAAGTCGTTTGTGGGCTTATACAACTCAAGTAATCTGCGTACACGTCAATGTGCATTATTGTCTGGTCGCTCGGTTCGCTCAAGTTTCTGGTTACCTCGTGGCCGCCCACTGTGATTATCGACATTATTCTAGCCCCGATTTTCGATATGCCGAATGGCTTTCCCGTTACCATTTTTACAGTGTTACAATTCCCGGTCTTTGTTGAGCCTGATACGGCCTCTGGTATTGGGTTTGATCCGGTTAATGCTTCGTTAAAATTCTTTCTTTCGATCTCCAGTTTTAGTCGTTGCTCTATTTCTTTCGCAGCCAGATCCTGCTTCACTTTGTTGACGGCCTCCGCTGCCGCTTTCTCGTAATCTGTTTCTGGGGCTTTCTTCGCCGTGGCCTCTGCTGCACTACCACATTGTGTTACAGCTTTCACTGTTTTCGTTGGTAGCTCCACATTTGGTCCCTCGAGTTTTTTCGTCTCAAATTCACCCTGTCTGTTTCTCTGGTTCTGCACTGCTGCCAATGCCAACTTGTGTTTTGGATGACTCTGGTTCTTGGCCGCTTCCCAGAACAACGGACAGTCCACCCTGAAGTGCCCCTCTTGGTTACAGAAGAAGCATCTCGCACCTATTTTGATGATCAAGCCACTATAGAACTCGTGCTCTTCCATCTGGCTCATATCTTCCTCATCGGGTGCATATCCCAAACTCTTCATGCCCTGTTTGTATGTCGTGCAATCCGCCACATGATGATCAACTGATCCGCAGTTAGCACACGACCTGCGTTTGTCCATGTCATCTCTAGGCTTGTACCATGACGACATTTGTGGCTGACTCCCCCCTTGGGTGTTCCTGTTGTCTGAGTACGAGTATTTCTTGGGTTTCATCAGCATGTATTCTCTTGACTTCTGCCTCATCTCTTCTGGAGTTGGCGCACTATCTTTCGACAATGTGTAATACGTTGCTAACATCGTTCTCAAGTCATCACTCTTTACCCCATCAATGAACTTTGAGGCTATGCTGAAGTTTCTTCTGTTGGTAGATTCTTCTGGGTCACTCCTTCTTCTCAAGCTCTCGAGATCATCTAGGAACCTGTCTATCGATTCGTCATCTCTCTGTCTCCTTTTTTCAAATCGCATCATCGCTTGATGACCCTTCATGCCTGAGCCGAATCTGTTCAACAGTATTTCAAAGATTTTGTCCGCGGTATCGCGTTCTTCTTCTTTTTTCGCAACCACGCATTTTAATGCCGTGCCTTCTAAATTGCTGATATGGCTGTGCATGCTTGTCTTTCATCGTTCAAGTTGTCCTGTTCTAGGTGTAGTCTCATCACTTCCACCCAAGTATCAATGCATCCATCAGAGTCATCTTTGAATTCTTTTGGCTTCTTGAATGTTTTTCTGGATTTTCCCTCTCTTCTATCATTCGAGTCGGTGTTCCTTGTGGCGAAGGCCTCTAGAGTTCTATTCATCATTTCCCAAGTGTTTGCCCATGTCATAGCATCCGGTCCTGCGTTGCTGTTAGTTGTTGAGTCCCCCGGACCAGTCGTTGTACTCGACGTTCCATTCTTCATTATTGTTTTCGCAGCTGTTGGTGCTATGCTCACCGTGTCCCGGGTTAAAGGCAACGGTGTCGATTGCCGTTTGTTCCTTTGTGGTTCCACAAAGTCAACTCTGGTGCCTTGCGTACGATCCGCTGCCGGTCTTTCTTGTGAAGTAGAATTTCTCAAGATTGCATCCAATTTCGCCTGTATTGCACACGAACTTTCTGCCTGATTCTTGCTCATTGTGTCCATTCTCTTTTCCAGGCTACCTAATTGGCTGTTGACATCATCATATCGGTTTTTCAACTGTTGCATATCTTTTTTGATGTTCTTATCTCGTTCTTCATTGGTGGCTTCTACCTTATCTGACATCTCCTTGAGTCTCTCATCTGTTGCCTTAGCCAGGTTAAAATAACTATCCAGATACTCGTGTTTGTTGTATCTTAATTCTTTTCTTATCACCTCTCTGTCCTCTTCGCTGTGTTTCAGTTTTTTGTCGATCTGATTCAGTTTCGCCATCAGGTCACCTAGCTCAATAGTAGCCTCTTCATGGTCAGCCGTCGGTCTGTCTTTGGCCGTAGCTTCTGCTTTAGTCTGTTACTCTCTTGGATTGGCTTCTGTCGTCTTCGTGCTCACTGTCCCAAATGTTCGTGCTCTTTCAGCTTTTGGTTCTTCAGTCATGTTTTCTTTCGTTTTTATTCCGACCATCATCGCCAACCTTTCTGTAAAAGATGTCTTTTTTACTTGAGAGTCTTCTTTCACCGTTTCTTCGGTGTTGCCTATTGCATCTTCCACATTGTCTATTGGTGAGAACTCTATGGGTTTCGGGTTTGGTTCTTCTGCATTGGGCATTGGAGTTGACTCTGTCGCAATTTTCCCTGTTTCATCCACACTTTGATCGGGTGTCTCTAGATCAATCTCGATGGTGGTTTCTACTCGTTCCCCTTCTGTGCCCTTTTTTGCTCTGTTCTCCGTTGTACTCCTTGTACTGACCATGTTAACTGAAAAGCTCTTTTTTGTTATCTTCGGACCCATTGATGTTGCTTTGCGTAGCGACGAATTATATTTTGCTTCGGTAGATCTTTTTTCAGCTACCGGTACCCTGCTCCGCCTCATTATTTACAATTGTTATTATTTACAGTATTATTATCTACAAAATTTCTACTCTAAGGTTAAAAAACTCTAAGTAAAAAGAAATTGGCAATTCGCTAAAAACAATTTTTCTTAAACTTTTGAAAACTTTTATGTGTTAGGTTAGGATAGGGAATGTGTTGTTATAATTGGTTACTTCAACCTAACTTAGTACTCTTGTAGTACCCCCTTCCTAATACTGTTCTAAGACTTTCTCTCTACCGTCCCAAGACTATTCAGTGTTGTCCCAGTACTTCTTATTGGTATCCTCAGACCAATGTCCCAAGACCAACGTCCCCTAGACCAACGTCCCAAGACCAACGTCCCAAGACTAACGTCCCGAGACCAATGTCCCAAGATTAACGTCCCAAGACTAATGTCCCAAGACCAATGGCCCAAGACCAACGTCCCAAGACTAACGTCCCAAGACCAATGGCCCAAGACTAATGTCCCAAGACTAACGTCCCAAGACCAATGGCCCAAGACCAACGTCCCAAGACTAATGTCCCAAGACCAATGGCCCAAGACTAATGTCCCAAGACCAATGGCCCAAGACCAACGTCCCAAGACTAACGTCCCAAGACCAATGGCCCAAAACCAACGTCCCAAGACTAATGTCCCAAGACCAATGGCCCAAGACCAACGTCCCAAGACTAATGTCCCAAGACCAATGGCCCAAGACCAACGTCCCAAGACTAACGTCCCAAGACCAGTGGCCCAAGACCAACGTCCCAAGACTAATGTCCCAAGACCAACGTCCCAAGACCAATGGCCCAAGACCAACGTCCCAAGACTAATGTCCCAAGACCAACGTCCCAAGACCAATGGCCCAAGACTGTTTCGTACCAAGACTGCTCTGGTCCAAGACTGCCCCAAGGCTGCACTGTCCCAAGACTGTGTTGCCCCAGGACTGTCCCCAGACTGCAATGTCCCAAGACTTCTTTGGTACTGTCCCAAGACTCGTCACTGAATGTCTGGATATCGGATCTCTTTCTTCTTCGTTTTAGGGACTTCTTGATTCACTGTACCTTGTACCACCACTCAAGCTCTAGTGATAATTTTACCAAAAACCCTCTCTTAATGGCCAAATGCTAACCCCCCTTTTTGAATTACCTCTTTTTCTATGTTCCAAGTAACTTGAAACCACAACCTGTGCGCAGGTATCTTGTGATCACCTGTTCGTATAAAAACCAATCGCAAATCCTCACCAAAATGCAACAATATATATATATAAAAAAAAAATTTTAAACAAGAAAAATAATAAAACAGAGAAATCAACCCACCTAAAATTCAAAG